GAGAAGGGGTGCAGGCTTTGTGCTTCGGGGCTCTCTGCTGGGCACCCCACGCTCCTGGGTCTCCCTGAATTCAATCGCTGTTTCTGAGCCATGCTATACAGCAGCAGCCCGAGGGATCTTGTTAAAATGAAAACCTGGGCATGTCACTTCCCTGCTTCACAGTCATCAATGAACCCACAGTGTTGGTGAGGAGGGGAACCGAGTTCCCTTGCATGTGGCTCTCAGGAGTGCAATCTGGTACATGCTAGCATTATCTAGCCAGACCCCAAATACATTCATGTGCTCCTTGACCCAGCTTTTTCCCTTCCCGAACATTATCCTGCAGATACCCCCGCCCCCCGGAATGATATATGTACGGGGTTATTCACTGTAGCATTATTCGTTGTAGCAAAAGATTGGAAAGAGCATAAGTGTCCATCAAGAGGGGACTGGTGAAACAAATTTTTGTGTATCCACAACAGCTGTTAAATAAAAGAATGGGAAAGCTCTTTATGTACTGATACGGAATAATCTTCAAGATGTATTGGTAAGCAAAAAAGGCAAGCAGTGTGTATAGTGTGTTATAGCTACCATTTGTGTAAAAAAAAATAAAACAAATCCATGTACTTATTTTCTTGTACATGTATAGAATAGCTCTGGAAGGATACACAAGGAAATTACATTGGTTGCCTTGGAGACACAGACTGGGTAGCTGGGGGACTGAAGGGGTAAAGAATTTCCACTAAATATCCATTTGGACTTTTTGAATTTTGAACCTTGACATATATTTTCTATTTAAAAAATAGCTTCGTTTTCAAAAGAATGAGTCCAGGATCTTGTAGGGTATGCACACTGAGGGGCGTCCTTTGGGGCTGCAATTACTGGGGATGGGGGTAGGACGCACTTTCTTTTTTAAAACATTTCCATAATGTTTGAATGTTCTCTACAATGTATTAGCTTAGCAAGGAGGAAAAATAATAAGGATGCTATGTGTAAGAAAATACAATTATAACTGTGCTCACAGACTGGACTACGCAACCTCTCTTTACACACAACAAAACACAAACACAAACAAAAACCCAAAATGCAAATCCATCAAATACCCCTCTCTGAGAATAAAATCCAAGCTCTCCAACCTGCTTACACTGGGCCATCAGGTCCCTGCCAGCCTCTCACATCACTTCTCAACGGAGCCCGCTTCTCCAATCCGAAGTTGCTTACAATTCCTCTCATGCCTCCGGCTATTCTCCTCCTCCCAGTCTTTCCTGCACCATGCCCTCTGCCTGGAATGCCCTTCTCTGAATTTCTGTCTGGCCAAGACCTTCTTATCCTTTAGAGATGCTGCTACCGCTTCCAAGAACTTTGTATCTTAAATCTTAATTGCCCACGCATATGCCTGTGCCCCTGCCCCAACCTGACTCCTATCCCAGGGACAGTGACAGCCCCAGTCCTGGAACTGACAGCCACTCCCAGCTGTGCGACCTCCAGAGAGCCACCGAGCCACCTCATGGCAGTATCCTCCTTCTGCCCCCCGCCCCTCTCACCAGGCCCCTCAGGGCAGGAACCAGGCTCTAACCTCCTAGTGAAGTGGGGCATCGTCTGGCGTGGCTGGAGGAGGGTAGATAGCAGAGAACCTTTTCTTAACAGTGGGTTTCTGTTTTTCTGCCGGATCCTTAATGACTGCCCTATGAACACAGTTCTCCTAACTGCCTTCACCAGTCCACCTCCCCCAGATGACATTCATTATGACACACCTGCCTCAGTTTAGCTCCAAGGACAAGGGGCTGCTTCCTCGCTCGGACCTCCCAAGTCCTTTCAGGCGCCCACAGTGGCCGCCCCCTGCCTTTGTTTTTCTGCCAGTCTTGCAGGTGCCCTCTGCTCCATTCTTTTATTTCTCAGTCCTTCCCTCTTCCTGTCCGGCTGCCCCTTCCCCCTCCCTTGGGTCTCCTGGAGCGGGCAAAATGCTTCTGGGTCCTCCATCCTACCCTCAGCGCCCTGTGGTTGGAAGGGTGAGCAAGCACACAACACCATGTGGTCTTCGGCCCAGGCCCACCCCTCTGGCCCCACCCTTCGCATCACTCCTCTGGTCCCGCCAGGCCCCGCCCCTCTGGCCCGGCCCCGCCCCTCACCGGTCTTGGGGTCCACCGTGAAGTGGTGCTCTCCATCCAGCACGCTGTACACCAGCCGAGCGCTGCTGCCATACGTCGGGTCATCCGCATCCGAGGCCATCACCTGCATCACCGATGTGCCTGGGCCCGGGGGACCAAGCGATACGGGGGTCACCTGGGGCCGCTGAACTCATCCTCCCCACCTTTTCCCACCCCGAAGGAAGCTGGGAGAGAAGACCCAGGCTGGGGAACATTGAAGCCAGGCCCTGTCCCCCCACTGAGTTCCAACCTGCTTCCTGACCAAGGGCCTCCCTAGTGACGGACACAAGCAGGAACCCGGAGTCAGATCTCTGTTCAGACCTCCCTTCCCTGGTTCCCAGCTGTGGGACTTAGGCGATGGAAGGCAGCCCCTCTGAATCCGTTTCCTCTCCAGCAAAATGGGGAAATTCTAGTCGTTGGTTCATGAGGGAATGCGTTCTAAACTCCCAGCGCAGAACAGCTCAGAGCAGACATGTCTCTCAGTGGGTGGTGGTCATGGTCATTGTCACCAGGGAAGGTCATGGCAGTCAGAGTCAGAGCTCGGACTAGAAACCAGGCACCTGATTCCCAAAGCAGGGGTCTTCTTACACACTCTGCACTTCTCAAGGGAATTCTGCCTCCTTCCTCCCCATGCCCTCACCCCCACCCGGTGGCAGGATGAGGGGGCAGCTCAGGACAGCCAAGTTCACTGGGACTCAGAGGCCAGTGTCTGTCTCTTGGTCCCTGTGGAAGGAGAATGGCAGTGCCCAGCTTGCCCTTGGGGAAATAGTCGGCTGTGGGCCCTGGTGCCTTCCTGGCCCTCCCCAACCCCCCGTGCAGATGGTCCCCACCCCCAGACACACACACACTTCTCCTCATGCTCCGCACGTAGGCTGCTGGGGAGAGTATAAATTGGATAAAAGTCCATCAAACAGTGGCAATTAAGTTATTGATTTTCGACGCTGCCTCATTAAACTGGGAGCTCCTCTCGGCCTGTCCCAGAGATGGCTCTAATTTGACATCATGTTCAATTTGACAAAAGCAGGGCTTGGGACGTGAGGCTGGACAGGATGGGGTGAGGGTTCGAGAGGGGAGAGGGTTTAAGGGGAGGGGGGACAGAAAAGCCATCTGGTCTATCTGAACCTTTTCAGGAAGGAGGGGGTGAGATGAAAGGCCCAAGAGGGAGGCTAGGGGGCCCAGGACATGACCCAGGGGGGATAAGACTCAGACCTCACTGCAAGGAGATGCCCTCTTCTGAGTGCCAGGCTGGTGAGGGGAAGGGGCCCAGGCCTCCTGGGGTTCTGAGCAGGGGCCTCCTGGGCCTGGGTTCGGCTCTCTGGGCCAGTAGGGCAGTGTGCTGGGAGGGGAGGCCGGCTCACTGCCTGGCTAATGAGTGAGGCTAGGGAAATGCTACTGCAGCAATTCTGCTAAGCCCGGCCTCTCCGCCTCCAGCCTGGGGCCCTCGATCATTCCAGACAGACACGTGTATTTATTTTTCACTCTTTTGCATTTCTCATTTCCCTCTCATGTCCTCCCTCCCACGAGCCTCCTAAGCCTGCTCTGCAATGCGCCTCTTTCTTTGGTGGCTCCAGCTCCATGTCAACCATGTCAGAGCTCCCAGGAGAAGCTGGGGAAGAGGTGTTCGGGCAAGCCCCCTCCCGCTTGATGCTTGGCGCTCAGGGGTTTCCTGTTTAGGGCCAAGAGCATGGTCCCAGGTGCCTCCACCCCCTTCTACAGAGAGAGGAGAGAGGAATAAACTATGGAGTACCTATTACATGCCTGGCTTCACCAGCCACTTACATTCATCATCTCTAATTCTCATAGCATCTCTGAGAGGCAGAATGGGCCCCTCATAATTACAGGTGAGGAGACGGGTAAAAGAACAGAAAAGACTGACTGAAGGTACAGACTGAGGAAGGAGTGATATTTGAACTCAGGATTCTCAGAGGCCAAAGACCTTCTGGTTGTCAGAGTCAGCACAGGCAGTGACTCTGGGGGTGGTGGCCTGATGCACTGAAGCACCATCCGTATGACTCTGCCACTTACTACCAGTTTGACCTTGGGTATAGCACAAAACCATTTGTGCCTCAATTTTCTTATTTGTGAAATTAGGGTGACAGTACTACCAAACTCCTGGGATCGGTTTGAGATTTCAAATAGATTTCAATTTTTCAGCACGGAGGACAGTGTCCAGCCCATGCTAAGGACTCAATAAATGCAGGTTGTTGCCGAGTCAGGAGGCACTGCATGCCAGTACACAATGGCACAATTATGCCCCCTCGCAGACATACTGAAATGGAAGACGATGCACTAAGCATCAGGCTCATGGTGGGTGCTCAGTAAACACTGGCTATTGTAACGGTTATCAGAGAGGGTCCCCTTGTCCCTCCCCTCGGCAAGTGATTCCCCACGGATATGGCTGATTTCTCTCTCTCTCTCTCTCCCTCTCCCTTTCTCTCCCTCTCCCTGGCTGCATCCCAGGGATTCCCACAGGGATGATAGAATCATTTCCCCAATCTGGGATTCTTTATTGCAGCCATTACAGTTAATGCCAACATGTGGGGATGGTGAAGGGTCAGTGATTCACAACTGGTTCCCCAGGACCCACACCCCTCCCACCTTCTTTGCAAGTCAGCAGCTCCCCAGAACAGACAGAGGGTGCCAGGCCTGTAGTTGCTGGGGGACCATCTTCAGGTCATCCC